TCGATGTTTACCAACGTTTCAGAGGTCTTACTGTCTCCATCCTCAGAGTATGAAGATTTCTGCCTTCTGGGTTGTTGCGCCGTTCGGTCTGGTAGAAGTTTGGCGACCTTCCAGAGGTCATACTGCCTCCGTCATCAGAGTATGAAGATTTCTGTCTTCTGGGTTGTTACGCCGTGTAGTCTGGTCGATGTTTACCAACGTTTCAGAGGTCTTACTGTCTCCATCCTCAGAGTATGAAGATTTCTGCCTTCTGGGTTGTTGCGCTGTGTAGTCTGGTAGAAGTTTGGCGACCTTTCAGAGGTCATACTGCTTCCGTCATCAATGCGATGAGGTTTTCACAATGGTGAGTATGAAGATTTCTGTCTTCTGGGTTGTTGCGCCGTGCGGTCTGATAGAAGTTTGGTGACCTTTCAGAGGTCATACTGCCTCCGTCATCAGAGTATGAAGTTTTCTGCCTTCTGGGTTGGTGCGCTGTGTGGTCTGGTAGAAGTTTGGCGACCTTTCAGAGGTCATACTGCATCCATCATCAAGGAGATCGCTATCATAATAAAAGACAGAGTACAAGAAGTCCAAAGGTGTTAGTCCAGATAAAACATAACACAGATACGAATAAGACTTTCTTGAGATGCGAACAAAGGGAGATGCAGTAGATAAGTGATTTGATATCACCTCACATATGATGATGATAATAAACGTTACAATTTAAAGTGTACTTTCCAGCACCTATTTACCTAATAGGGACAGGGTGGGTTTAACCTCAGCTCGTCAGCAGGATGCCTTGGAAGACATCGAGAAAAAAACTAATATGTAGCTAGTAATAATGTTTTGTAGCTGAAGGCATTGTAAACGTCAGCAATTACGTAATAGCAGACCGGACAGGGTTACTGAATCAACATTTTGTATGTGCCAGTCAACAGAATTCGAAATTCAAAGACAACACAACTGTACACTAGTTTGACACCATTGCGGTAAGAGGTACCCGGTTCGAATCTGGACGAGCAATCGGCTATCCTGACCAAATTATTCTGTGGTTTTCCTCAGTCCACATATGCGGAAGTCAGTTTTCTGCCTTCACATGTGAACGTTTTCATTCGAGCAAAAATTTGTATGCTACTGCCACCAGCTGGGGGCAAAGTACCAAATATGGGCCAAACAGAAGCTGCTACACTACTCGTATCTTGAATGTAAACTCGGCAGCCATGATCCTACGGAAGTCTTGCAGGCAGCGAGACATGTTGTCTGCAGTTACAGCACGATTCGCTTGTGACGTCAGCCTCGCCGAAGCGAAGCGACTCAACGGTTTAAAACCGTTCACCTCCACTTCAGAACTTGCGCCAGCACAAAATTTTGAAACCTGAATTCAAAGTCTGCAATTGCTACCAAATTGTAGGTGTACTCCAAATTAGAGTACAAATCTCAAGCCCTTTTTAACTGCTGGATTTGATCCAATATGTTACACTTTTCTCTATGACAAGAATATCAATGAAATAGAAATATTTTGATGGTATCTATTCTTAGTTCTCTCTGTGTTTCTATTTCCTTTCTTAACAGGGCGACCTGAGGTATACTGTATCTTGACAATTGCTAACTATTAGAATGGGAGCGTTAGTAGAAAAGACACGTAAAAGAAGAATTGCACGTATTATTATTACGAGGTCTTTACAGTCACATACCTCATTGTCCTTCGTCTCTATTTGTTGATGCATTTCTAGTAATGGGGCAGTTAAAATGTATTTCTTCTGCTGTGTGATCTCACTGATTTACGTCATTTTACGTGAAATCCTTTACTTAATCTTTATTTGCTTTCTTGCTGTCATATCCTACCATCATTCATACGACGCGTTTAAATCTTGAATGAATTTAGAAGCACATTATCACAGGAGGAAAATGAATTAATTACGTTAATTTTCTGTATCTTCGATAAAACATATATAAATAATACAGGTAAGTGAATTTTCCTCAGAACATGAATAACTATTTGCAAACACGAATTCACAATTGCATGCTTTCACATATCCACTCCTTGTATATAGTTTTTAAGTAATCGCTACAATGAGAATTGTTTACAACAAAACCTCCATATCTTTACGACGGGTACATTTTATATCATGTGGAAGTTTTCTGCAGTAGTGTTTGTACGTGTCCGATGGGAACCAAAATTAAATTGTCGACAACTTTTGGTGAAAACACTTAGTTTCAAGTTTAAATGAAATCCGTTCAGTAATATTGATTTTGTGTGTGTGACTAAAGAATCAGAATAGACTCCTGATACGGTTCATGACAAGGAACAGGATTATGCCAGACAGATTTGTATGATCTAAAACCACGACGGCGAACCTAGTTAAGAAAACCCTCTCCGGTTATCAGCTGTGTCAAATGGTTAAAATTCGCTGACGTCTCATGAACCATCTGTGATGATGGAGACAGTGATGTTCCGTAAAATGTCGTCGGCTTTTAACCATCTGACACGACTGGTAGCGTGAGAGGATTTTATTAATTGTAACCCTACTTACAGTTCTCGTGCTTTAACCCAGAAAAAGCAAGGGTAAGCGTGCAGTAACCCGTTCAACCAGTGTTGACGGCTGGTGTTTCCGACATCAGAGACACGTGTATTAAATAACGACATATTATAGGAACAAAAATAAATGCAAACAGAATTATAAATGCGAAGATAAGTTTCCAATTCAAAATAATGCGAATCAACCTCATATGTGTGTAGCTTCTTGATAAGTTTACAATGTCATTAATTAAGATCAAAAACTGTAAGGGAGATAATTCAATTATCGTATTATTGTTGGTGGAAACTAAACACGTCCGAGCCTTTACATCGTCCACTGCATTGCAATGCTTTGTTGAGACAAATCATTTTATACTTGGCGAAGAACCTGTTACATGATTTGAGGTTTTCACAGCGGTGAGTATGAAGATTTATGTCTTCTGGGTTGTTGCGCTGTGTAGTCTGGTCGATGTTTACCAACGTTTCGGAGGTCATACTGCCTCCGTCATCAGAGTATGAAGATTTCTGTCTTCTGGGTTGTTGCGCTGTGTAGTCTGGTCGATGTT